CAAAATCTAAGTTTGGAATCTGTGTTAAATAGGATGCCATCCCATAGGATGTTCGTTCTAATTTACTTGTAAGGTGGCTCTTTGGTTATGGTATTAAAACCTGGGTCCTAGTTGTTACAGCTATTAGTGATATATAATATAGTATCACTTCTATTACTTGGGAATACACTGTTATATTGTAGCTAAACAGTATTGCTTCAGCATTAGTGTTATTATGTATACACTTTTACAGCTTGTATAAGTAGTCACAGAGTTTTACTCGCTGTATAGTCTCCATTTACTCCTGCTGTTCATATTATTTTTCTTTTTTATATTTTTTATTTTAGATTTATTTATTAAAAGTTACTTTTTAATCTACAATCTTCTCAGTAAATCATACACAGGTAGAATGGCATTTGTTTCTTTTTTTGTTTATTCTCTATGATATTCACCATTTAGGGGTTACCCTCCCCCCCCCCTTTTTCTTGCGCAGTGACTTATGGGGCTGGCACAATTTTTTTTTTCTGGGCTGCTTTGTATCCCCAGTCCGGCCCTGGTTCCATTTATGGGAGGCTTGCCCTGCCACGTCCTGTCCGTTGGCAGCCAGTGAGTCCTGAGGCAGGCCAAGCATAGCCAGCAGCATGGCTGCTTCCCGAAGATCATGAATGTCCTGTGTGACATTGTCCTTAAGGACCTGGAGCCAGCGGATGCCTTCAAAGTCGTATGGCGTGCGGTCTTTGGCTGCGGTCAGTATTGCGGCTCTGTCCTTTCCGGTCATTAGGCGAACCACCAGGTCCCTGGGGGTCCCCTTTGGGGCTTTGGGTAACTTGGGGATATGGAAGGATTCTTCCAGACCCACCGCCCTTCCTTGTCTTGGAGGCAGCAGTTCTGTGATTAGTCGCCGCAGGAGGTGAGGCAGTTCCTTGGCAGGTATGTCCTCTGTGATGCCCCTTATTTTCACGTTCAGTCTGCGCCTCGTGTCTTCCATCATGGCAAAGCGTTGGTCATAGACTTTGTGTTGTTGATGTAAATTGGCAATCTCCCGTTGTAGTGAGGTAAGTTGTGTAGCTTGTTCCCCGGTGGTTCCCTCCAAGGTGCTCAGCCTGCCCGACAGGCCTCCTATGTCCTCGCGGATCTTTGCTGTGTCCACCAGTATAGTGTTCTGGAGGGTCGTCAAAACTGTTGTGAGGACCTCGGTGGTGACCGGTGAGGTGACGGGCCCCTTGGGGACCGGTTTAGTGGGTTGCACCACGGGCATTTCATCTTCTTCATCCTCCTGGTAAAAGTCGTCAGATATTTCCGAGTAGTTCTCGGGGTAGGCGGCCATCTTGGGCCTTACTACGCTGCTGGCCTGGCGCAGGAGGTCGCCGATGTGCAGGCCCTGCCGTGGCTTGTCCAGCTTTAGTTTTTTAGTTTTCCATCCCATTTCTGTATTAGAGTGTCAGGAGGTTCTGCTGGAGCGGGTATTGAGGGATTTTGTGTCCCAAAAAGGTGAAAAGAGCGTTGGTTGTTAGGAGCTCTCACAAACCCTTATATGAACAGCCAGGATAGATAGAAAAATGGATATTTGTATCTCCATCGTGTACTTTAAGAATTATACCAGAATGTATAAACATGATTGTCTTTAGTTATAGCAACTTGTTGGGCTTTCATCAAGCCTAGTAGCAAAAACAAATACAAGAAACTCATGGTGTAATTGGATCTGGTTCCTCTGGAGCCGGAACTTTCTTGCAATGTAAAGCGTGTGTCCAAGTGTTCTTCCCGGCCAATTTAACTGAGGTAGGTGTGGTTAGAAGGACTTGGAATGGACCATCATATCTTGGCACGAGGGTATGTTTTCTCAGGAACCTTTTAACCAGAACCCAATCACCAGGAAGCAGTTTATGAGTGCCTGTATCAGATTCTGGATCTGGAATGGAAGAAAACATTTGGGCATGTATCTTGCTTAAGGCTTGAGAAAGAGCAGTCACATAACAGCTACAATTTCTGGGGAAATTGTGTGGTGTTCTTGCCTCAACCAGTAGTCTACAACTGGAGTGGGCAGAGTAACTGTTATTATTTATTTATATAGCACATTTAATTGCAACATTGTTGCCCAAAGTGCTTCACAGTTACATTAAAACATACATTTATAAAAACATTAGCAGGTGTACAAAAGATCCTGTCTATGACATCTCTTGCTGCTCCAGCCTGGCACAGGTCAGAGTATTTTGGCGGTTGCCATCTTCAAACGGTCGTATTTTAAAAAAGAGCTTAATATTGTGAGAATCACAAGACCCAGACCTACATTTTGATGCATTGTATGTCTCTGAAATATTAACAATGAAGGCACAGTCGCAGTTTAGAAATTGCCCTTCAAGTTTGAGCTGGCTAGCGTGGAGTTTCAATGAATGTCAATGGACAGCGTGAGTTGCAAACAAATGGTCATATTGTGAAAATGGCTTAACCGTGGACATTTTTAGTGGCAGCAGGGATAGCTGAACATTTTTATATAAGATTTGTGAAGGTGGGCGTGAAAATTAGGGAGTGGTGGCAGTTTAGAAATCATGTCCTGATTTTTCAGCTTTTGCCAGCTCCCACTCTAGTTTTGAACATTTTGCCATTCATTCCTATGGGACCAATTTCGCCAGAAGAAAGACGATATTCCGTGAACCATTAGGCGAAACATTCCACAAAGTAATAGCAATCCAATCGGGAACAATCCACACGTTTCGGTATATTAATGTCTATATAGTGTAAAAACTGTGGGAGGAGTTAGGGTGGTAAATTTGGCAATAATAATAATATAATATACAGGGAGTGCAGAATTATTAGGCAAGTTGTATTTTTGAGGATTAATTTTATTATTGAACAACAACCATGTTCTCAATGAACCCAAAAAACTCATTAATATCAAAGCTGAATATTTTTGGAAGTAGTTTTTAGTTTGTTTTTAGTTATAGCTATGTTAGGGGGATATCTGTGTGTGCAGGTGACTATTACTGTGCATAATTATTAGGCAACTTAACAAAAAACAAATATATACCCATTTCAATTATTTATTATTACCAGTGAAACCAATATAACATCTCAACATTCACAAATATACATTTCTGACATTCAAAAACAAAACAAAAACAAATCAGTGACCAATATAGCCACCTTTCTTTGCAAGGACACTCAAAAGCCTGCCATCCATGGATTCTGTCAGTGTTTTGATCTGTTCACCATCAACATTGCGTGCAGCAGCAACCACAGCCTCCCAGACACTGTTCAGAGAGGTGTACTGTTTTCCTCCTTGTAAATCTCACATTTGATGATGGACCACAGGTTCTCAATGGGGTTCAGATCAGGTGAACAAGGAGGCCATGTCATTAGATTTTCTTCTTTTATACCCTTTCTTGCCAGCCACGCTGTGGAGTACTTGGACGCGTGTGATGGAGCATTGTCCTGCATGAAAATCATGTTTTTCTTGAAGGATGCAGACTTCTTCCTGTACCACTGCTTGAAGAAGGTGTCTTCCAGGAACTGGCAGTAGGACTGGGAGTTGAGCTTGACTCCATCCTCAACCCGAAAAGGCCCCACAAGCTCATCTTTGATGATACCAGCCCAAACCAGTACTCCACCTCCACCTTGCTGGCGTCTGAGTCGGACTGGAGCTCTCTGCCCTTTACCAATCCAGCCACGGGCCCATCCATCTGGCCCATCAAGACTCACTCTCATTTCATCAGTCCATAAAACCTTAGAAAAATCAGTCTTGAGATATTTCTTGGCCCAGTCTTGACGTTTCAGCTTGTGTGTCTTGTTCAGTGGTGGTCGTCTTTCAGCCTTTCTTACCTTGGCCATGTCTCTGAGTATTGCACACCTTGTGCTTTGGGCACTCCAGTGATGTTGCAGCTCTGAAATATGGCCAAACTGGTGGCAAGTGGCATCGTGGCAGCTGCACGCTTGACTTTTCTCAGTTCATGGGCAGTTATTTTGCGCCTTGGTTTTTCCACACGCTTCTTGCGACCCTGTTGACTATTTTGAATGAAACGCTTGATTGTTCGATGATCACGCTTCAGAAGCTTTGCAATTTTAAGAGTGCTGCATCCCTCTGCAAGATATCTCACTCTTTTTGACTTTTCTGAGCCTGTCAAGTCCTTCTTTTGACCCATTTTGCCAAAGGAAAGGAAGTTGCCTAATACTTATGCACACCTGATATAGGGTGTTGATGTCATTAGACCACACCCCTTCTCATTACAGAGATGCACATCACCTAATATGCTTAATTGGTAGTAGGCTTTCGAGCCTATACAGCTTGGAGTAAGACAACATGCATAAAGAGGATGATGTGGTCAAAATACTCATTTGCCTAATAATTCTGCACTCCCTGTATATGTGAGATAACATTAAGTGGTCTTGCTACACAAGAACACTTAATTAACCATGACATCTGATTGTAGTTGGAGTTGTTGAGGAAAATAAAATCCTAACCTAGAGGCTGAACTAAATAAAATCTCATATTGGGATAGGCTAAATTTCCCTCTTGGTGTGTACCTGACACTAAACAAAGCTATGGGGAGACTCTCAGGCCAGGGCAGGTTAGTTTCTTGGGCCATCTTAAGCATCCTGGCTTTTTAGGTGCCATTCATGCGTTCTACCTTCCCGCTACTCTGTGGGTGATAGGGTGTGTGGAATGCAAGGGTCACCCCCAGTGCTGTCCAGACTTCCTTAGTCACTAGTGCGGTAAAATTTGGGCCCTGGTCACTTTCGATTACATCAGGAACTCCATATCTGCAAACAATTTCGGTGAGCAGACGCTTGGCTGTGGTCTTGGCAGTCATATTGGTAACTAGGAAAGCTTCTGGCCATCCCGAAAACATGTCTTTGGCATCTGAATATGATCAATCTGGACTCTCTGAAATGGATATTGTGGCTTCGCCAGATGTTTGGGGAAAACTTTCTCAATTTTCCCTGTATTACACAAGATTTACAGTATTTCTTAGTCAGGGAAGTAATGCCTGGTGCCTCAAAATATTTGTTAATCAGAGAATAAGTGTCTTAGACAAATGTGCTGCTCCGTGGGCCCATTGGAACACCGCTGGATACATGCTCTTAGGTAGGCAGAATTTAAGATTAATAGCATACATTCCATCCTGTAGGGTCGCTCCTTTTTGCTTTCAGCTTTGCTTTTCTTCAGGGCCTACAGCTGTTTGTTGTTCCTTCATGAATTTGAGGTCTGTGGCTAAGATTTGCATGGTAAATATAGGAATTTCTTCATCGGAAACTCTTCTGTCCACTTCTCTTGACTCACATGCAGCCTCTTTTGCAGCTTGGTCAGCTTTATGATTGCCACATGCTTCTTCCAAATTTAATCTTCCATGGGCTTTAACTTTCAGTATGGCTACCTCTTCAGAAAGCAGAGGAGAATCCATCAGCTTCTTGATAGAAGCGCCATGTTTAACTGGTGTACCAGTTGCTGTCAGAAAGCCTCTTGTCTTCAAAATCAATCCAAAGTCATGAGCTACGCCCAGGGCATATCTTGAGTCGGTGTAGATATTGACACGTTTTTCTTTGGACATTTGACATGCTACAGTGAGAGCTGTCAGCTCAGCTTCTTGAGCAGACATAGATGAGGGAAGTGAAGATAGTTGAAGTACCTGATCCACCGTGGTCACTGCAAACCCAGTGAGGTACCTTCCTTGTTAATCTGCAAATCTGGAGCCATCAACAAACAAGGTATTGTCCGGGTCTGGTAAGGCCGTTTCGTGTACTGTTTGGAGATGTGTTGTTTCCATCTTCATATCTGTTTGAAGCAATAATGCGGAGCATCTGGGTCAAGGTCTATGGGAAGGGCATCTTCACATATTTCCGTGTGGTATTGCGGGTAGCCAATAGTCTTACAATTTACAGTTCGTTTGGTAACACCTTCTGCCAAAAGTTGTTTTTGATCTATTGTGCTCCATGCTTTTGCCAATGGGCCAAGTTCTTTCCATGAGATATCTGGAGATTTAGTGATAGAGACATGAGGAACTGCCATCTCCCAATGTTGATACATATGAGTCACCTTCATAGGTAATTGAACCAAATTATTTGGTAATTGAACCAAAATATACCTATATATCGCAAAACATGTCTGTCAGGATGAGACTTACTTCTACCAATCTAAATAGTTCTTCTTCATACTGAGGGTTAGGCCCTGGGACTTTTCTGAACCACAAGGTGGAATGCAGTAGAGGGGATGGTTGTTCATCGTATGGGACAATTAGAATAGAAACATCTAGATCAAAAATGACATCAGGATCTATGTCCAAACTATACCAATAGTGTGGTACTCCCCCCTTGGGAAGTGGCAAAAGAGTGGCCGGATTCAAAGAGTAACAGCGTTGGAGAGTGACATTATCATGCAGAAGTAAAGATCTTTGTAACTGGAGGTGTCTCTGAGAAGTAAGATGTTTAGGCTGAACTCAATTGAGAATAGCAGTGATATAATGGGGAGCGAGAATAGTGAGTTTGTGACCAAGGATTAGGTAATTTGTCTTGTCTAGAAGTGCACTTGCCGCAAACACTGCTCGAAGACAAGAGGGGCATCCTCTGGCCACCGGATCTAATTGGCAGGAATAGTAGCCAATAGGGCGCTGGTGGGATCCATGAGATTGAGTTAGAACCCCAAATGCATGACCCATCCGTTCAGAGACAAAAAACATGAAAGGTTTCTGGTAGTTTGGCAGGCCCAGTGCAGGGGCCGAGGCAATAGCACGCCATAATGCAAAAAAAATCAGCAAGAGCTTCAGAGGATAACAGAAAAGGTTCAGTGTTAAGGGCATCATAGAGAGGCTGCATGAGAATGGAGGCCTAAGGTATCCAAGCCCGGTAGTAGGAGATAAGTCCCAAGAAAGCATGAAGAGGTTTCTGGGCTGTTGGAGGACAGATTGCTGTTATACCCCGCACTCTGTCTCTGGTAAGGTGACGGGTGCTATGAGAAAGACAATGTCCCAAGAAGACCATGGAACACTGGCAACACTGCAATTTCTTCTTCGAGACCTTTATAGCCTTGGTCGGCCAGGAAGCAGACTAAATCCTCAGAGGCACATTCAGCAGTTGGAAGATCGTCGGCACAGAGAAGGTCATCCACAAATTGCAGGAGGACCCCATCAGAATGGCTCCAGAATATATACATGGCTTTTGCAAACTGGCTCGGTAAATTTTGCACCCCCTGGGGCATGACAGTCCAGGTATACTGCTGGCGGTCATGGGTAAATGCAAACAGGTATTGGCAGGAGGGATGCAAGGGCACGCTGAAGAAGGCATTGGCTAAATCCACCATGGTGATGAACTTAGCTGAAGGAGGAACCTGGGACAGAAGATTATGAGGATTCGGAACAATGGGAGTTTCCATCACGGTGACATCATTGACTGCTCTAAGGTCTTGAACCATCCTGTTTTTTTCCGGTTCACCCTTTTCAGTCTTCTTCTTGACTGGAAACAAGGGGGTGTTACATGGGGATACACATTTAACAAGAGCACCTGTATCAAGGAGACTTTCAACCTGTTTGGAGATTGCAAGGGCCAAAGTTGGTTTCAACGGATATTGAGGCCTTCTGGGTGGGTGTGCTCCTTGAAGTAATTGCACAAGCACCAGGGGAACCCGAAGACATCCAATATCGTCTGGACCAGTGGACCACAGGTTCTCCGGAACCCTGTCTAGCGCACTGGGGGAATCTTCTGGGATCCTTGCACGCCCATGAGGTCAATCCATATGTAGTAAAAGGAGTATGGAGCAAAGGGCCGAAATATCATCACTAGTAACTAAATCTGACCATCGGAAGTAAAAGAAATAGAGGCCTGTAGGCGGGAAAGGACATCTGCACCTAATAAGTTAATAGGATAGGTGGAGGACACTACAAACCATGTGAGGAAGTCAGGGAAGGTACCCACCCGCAAGGGCTTAGTTAATGGGCTACTATGGGGAGTACCATCTACACCTACACAGGAAACATCAATATTAGATAGGAAAGAGGTGTCAGGCAGGTCTCATCCTCTAAGAACACTATGGGCTGCGCCTGTGTCGACTAAAAAGGTGGTTGGATGGCCTTCCACCGAGAGGTCCACCGTAGCTAGGGCCCCCCCCCATCCCCTGCAGACACTGCCATGACAGGGGAATATGAAACAGGTTTGCCAGTTACCTATTGTATCAACCCTAAATGATCCTGGCCCGAGCCAACGTAGGGGCGGCCAGGCTGTTGGGCACGCTGCGCTGGGAGCTGGCGACTGGGAACAGGATGCTCAGCAGGTAAATAACCCTCAGGAGAATACCCATCCTGGGGATAGCTGGCGGTATAAGCAGGAGTGACAGGGTACCATGGGGCTGGGGGATAGCTGGCTAATGGATATCCTGGGGCCTGAGCCTGTGGATATCCAGCCGTGGGGTAAGCATGGTCCTGGAGAGGGGGGTAGCCTGCCACCTCATAAGATGGTCTTGCGGCCTGTGGGTACTGCTGGACGATCGAAAGTCTGGGCAGTCCCTCCTAAAGTGACCCGGTCAGATACCAGTCTGGGGCCTTGGAACCCGGGAAGTAAAGGGACCCAGAGGAAGAGGCATGGGATATCCAGCAGGAGCAGAAGCAGGAACAGGAACAGGCCCGACCGCAGGGTCCTGGGCCGTAAACATAATAGGGGTGGGCTTTTTAGGCTGGGACGGTTGAACTCCTTAAGGCCCGCTACGAAAACTGCTGACAGCATCTGGGCATGGGCTTTATTATGTATGGTAAAACCCAAGTCATAGAAGGTCTGGGTCAGTCTGGAATGATATTTTTAAACAGATTCCATCTTTTCTTGTATAATATCATTTATACTAGTTGCCTGATCGGCTAATTTATCTTGTGCCCACGCTTGGAGTTGCTCACAGAATTCAAAGCGTGACTGGAAATCTGTCTCATTAGTGAGACGGGCATGGTTAAAACTCCTTTCTATAATGGGCCAATAAGGGCCATGGGCCAATCTCCAGCCTTACTCTCACACAAACTATATAGGTCCTGTCATGCAACCGAGTATGTTTTGCGGATCTGAGCGACCCACTGAAAGAAGGGCATGAGCTGCATCTCTGGGTCTGGAAGGGATGCGACTGCTGCCTGGGATGGGTTAAATGAAACGTATAATTAGGGGCTCCACTAACCGGGTTAGATAATCGAGGTGGGCTTTCCCCAAACTCACTACTATCCTCAGAGCGAAGGAGAGGTGGAAGAGGCTGTTGGGTACGGAAAGGAACGGTATCGGCAGAATCGGATACCCATGCGTTTCCGAGAACAAGTTGAGGAGGGGGAGGCACTTGTGTATAAGTGTGAGGCTGAGCTGGAGCATTGGCGGTGCCGCCAACGGCGCCAGACTCACTAGATTCTACAGTCATAGGGAACGAGACACTGGGGACAGTTACCCTGGAAGCGAAACTGGAACGGAGCGTGGATTGGGAAAGGAAGTGGTCGGATGCATGGTGGAATGGAACGTAGTAACCATAGTGGGAGCGAGCGAGGCGGATGTAGGAAGGGGTGATGCAACAAAGGCGGAATCCGTCTGCCTTAAGGACAGGATATGGGTGTGGGGGCTGAGAGGGCGGTAGCGATGGGCAAGGGTGTTTGAGCGGGAAAAACAGGGGTTGAGGCGCCTCCCTTTTCCTTGTGCCAGCCGCCATCATAGGGCGATGGCGAGCCAGCACCTTCCACAACTTCACCATCACAAACCGTTTCATGATAAACATAAACTTTCTGTCCCTCTAACCAACCCTCACGCTTAATCCCTTTAGCTACTCTATACCAAGCCTCTGCTGCTTTTGTCAACCTCTTATAGTACAACAACCCCTCTTTCTCTGTCAACACTTTCTGACAGCACTCGGGCTGTAACCGGCCGCTGAGAGACATAACAAGGCTGTGGCGGAACCAACCTCGCCAATAGCCACTGGAGGAGCCTGGTTGCCCACCTCTTGCCGCTGGACTATGACCCTGTATTAAAAACCTTTTATTTTCCCTATGTGAGCAGTGTTACCCCAGATAGTTAAGCCATGCAGCCCATTTGTATACCGAAAGACTATGAGAAAGACTTTGGCTCCATGGCGATTGAACTGTATGCATGTGATCTGAGCGCCATCCGGTAATAATGTGCGCTCAGATCTAAGCTACCTGAAGATAGGTAGAATGTGTATGTTCTATGTGATGAATGTAACAGTATGTAATTTTATTTCTTTTACTGTCTTTTTACTGCCATGTGGTTAATGGAG